AAACAGTTCCATGAACAGCAAGAGAGGTGTATTGATTATTGATTATCAATTTAATATAGACAGGAAGGAGAAATGCTCAAGCTCCCGAGACAATTCTGCAATCTATAAAACTACACTAGCAGTACGAGAGTTCATCTAGCAGTTTTCAACGATATTTTCTCGATTTCAGTAGCGCTATAATTTTCTAGAAGAGTAAAGCTCATGCGTTTTATGTCTTTTATAACAGCAATGATTGTAAAAAAAAGGATCAAGCACATCTACAAATTAAGTGTTGTTATATGATGTTTAAAATTCTTAAGCCCTTCATAGTGTAAATCAATATTCATGTGAAAGAAAAACAAGAGCCACTGCCTAACATGGGCCACGCTCGACTTTTTCTTATTTATTATACGATGCACATGTAGTAAAGACTTCTCCTACAAAACACATTATTTTGTAATAAATAAGTCAAATTTCATATTTGACCTTGATGGTCAAGGTCATTCAAAGGTCAATGTCAAATTAGAAATAATCATCATGTCGGTTTTGTCACAAGTGTTCCTTTGTCCATGAATGATTCAAATTCATAACAATTTAACAATTTAAGCAAATTTCAATTATTTGGCCTTGACGGTCAGGGTCAAATAAAGGTCATAGTCATTTCAGAATAATTCAACAAGTCGGTTTTGTCAAAGTATGAATCAAATCTTTACATAAATAACAAAGTTATGACAATTGAAGCACATTTCAAAAAATATGACAAAAAGTAAAATAAAGGCCAAAGTTATTTTTGAATTATTCAAAATACGGGTTTTGTCATAATGGGTATTTTGCCCAAGCATAAATCAAATCCATTAGAAATGCAACATTATGATCAACTGTAGTAAAATTCATTAATTGACCTTAAGTGTCAATGTCAAATTAAGGTCAAGTTCAATTAAATTTTCTATAGTTTTTTGTCCCAAAAGCTGAAGTTAAATGTAACTGACGACTAAAGGTCAAAATGAGTTTGATCATTAAAAGACTTAGTCCTTAAAGATATAAAGTTGTTCCCACTTTTAAGTGAAATTTTAGAAATGTCTATAATTATGCTTGTCAAACAATTTTCAAACATCGAAGAATAAAATTATGTAAAATATGTACTGCAAAAGTTAATTTGCATTATAAATAATCATTAGAATATATGCATTCATTTCTTATTGAAAAATTTGACTTAGACTTTAAAGAAAATAAATTTCTAATTACCTCCCTTTAGTAACAAGAAAATGTAAATTCAGTAATATCTTTACAAATAATGCGTTTTGGAACTTACAATATTGATAAATCTCCATTTGAGCATTTTATGTTTTATATATAACCATAAAAAATGTGTTACAGGATCTTTAAGGTTGTGTTCAACTATGAAGACAATTCATTACGAAATAGAAAAGGTCAACGTTAAAGTTCAACCTCTTTGGATTTCAAGCAATTTTGAAACTGACGTATTTGTTCAAGGGTCCGACATCAATTTAATGCGTTTAATTTTAACGTGTAATGATACAACATAATATATTAAGCATTTTACACTGCTTAAGAATGTCGTTGACAAGACAATACAAATACTTTGAACACCGTTCTGTCTACATACTCTTATTAATTTCAGCCAGAACAGTGGTGATTAGCAGGTAAGAAATGTAGGTTAACTGTAATGTAAACAAAATATGCACGTGGATTTTTCTATCATGCAGTACGTACCATCTTTACCATAATAATTAAGACACACATATTATAGTATCTGCCTCATAATCTGAATAATGTACGTAAACATACATTACTTTGCTTATATAGTTCAATACAAGTCAGAATGGAAGCTCCGGAAATTATCAAGTTATGCTTATTTAAATGGATATCACAATTTAAAAGAGATGCCCTTGGCTTAAAACTACTCACAGAAAAGCGCTATCAAATGCACAATTTTCGTGCATTTACATCTGCATTAGCCGTCATACTGTCATATGGACTCAGGCCTCATGTGTCTGCAGATGTTAATGCACGAAAAAGGAGTGAATTAACCCTCTATAATGTTTTGTTGCATAAGGCTATCACCGGTCAGAGCTTATTATGGTATTGAGAATAATATACAGACCATTTCATCTCGCTCATTATCATTGTTTGGCCTTAAAAAGCCTTGATCAGTCAAAATTTGGTAATGCAGCATGCTGTAACAAGTGTAGGCTTGACGTATTGGGGATCATACGCCGCTTTTCATGGTACATTGAAGGTTCCATGATAACCGCCATATGAACACATTTGCGGATGTTTATAAATTTAAAATTTCACCATTTTAATGTTTAAATGTTGAATTCTGCTTAAGCCGGTGCTAGGGGGCGTGGATTTTCCAGTACCGTCCATGAACAGGCTCGATCAAACCGAGCCTGCAACATTTTCAATTTTGTCGTTTTGGGCGATCTTTAGGGATTTCGTTTTCTCTATTGTGCTATAATTACTCCCCAAAAATGTACTCTTATCTATCAATGCAGAGGTTCAATAAACATGCATTCACTTGAAGTTTGACATGTTATCAATACAACGTCTCTTTATCAATGACAAATTTGTAGTTTATTCCATAAAAAACACAAACGATAGAAACTCGACTATTTCAAAGTCTGATTAAAAAATGTTGTTAAACTTAATAATACAATGTATAAAAATCCTCAAAATCAAATGAAATTCAACGAAATTCTTAAAATTTCTGACCTCATCATTATTGTGTATACCTGTCCATTTTCTGCAAAAATTCTAGTGCACTAGCTTATGAGATTATACAGATTGTCCTATATAGTGCACCAGTCAACATACAGATTTTGCACCATTGTTTTAAACGTGTTAACTACAGCACAGTTCATAAACATTAATATTGGTTGCGAATTGATTTTGTTAACAAGTAGAACGGACAAGGTTCGGAAAAATATGCGTGCTTGCGTGCATAAGTGCGTGCGTATGTTGTTGCGTGCGTGTACACGTTATTGTCACGAGTACTAATTACATTTATTTGCGCGCCAACTTTCACTATCACGTAACAAGCTTAATTTACAAAAAAATCATTTCTTAAGCATTGACTTAAAGGTCCAATTGAATCTGACGTTTTAAGGTGAATGCTAATACATTTGTGTATAAGATGTGTTCTTTTTCTCGTTTAAGCTCTAGCAGCCCCTTAAAGCGACCTACTAAGTTATCTTGATCACGTGTGAATGGTGTCCACTGGGAGCACTTCGGATTTGTAATCGGATCAAGAGGTCCCTGATTCGATCTTCTAGCGAGGCGAAATTTTTCCGTGACGGTCACGTGTCTCTCAACGCTGATTGAAAAAAAAATGTGAGATTAGTTTTCCGGACATTTGCGACTCCGAACTGTCAACATTTTCAAAGGGTCTATTTAAAGTTCATATACGAAATTCGTGAAAATGTCAATGATAATGTTTTCTCAGGCCGACCCATTTGATGTATAAACAAAACAGGTTTGTCAACATCATAAAACAATGGTGACATATTCAGTTAATACCAATAAAACTATTTAGCCTGTATGATGAATCGTTTAACTTTTAAAGTGATCACAATACGTGAGATTCCCGGATTTTTCGGACGGATGGTTTCGGGATTTGCGGACGGATGGTTTCGGACAGACGACGGGGAGTGTATTAGAATAATAGCCACCTCAATTTACTTTCGTTATCTTCAAATATGTAACAGATCTATGGCTTCGTGCCCTGGAGCAATGCGCTTTAATTTGTGTCTATTGATGGTTATCTGTAACATGTTTAAGGGCAAATAATTTTCAATAATAGCTTTGTGTGAACTCGAACAGAATTTAATTTCGTCAACAAAGTAGTTTGTATCCTAATAAATCTATAACACGTTTATACTGGGAACAAATCACGCCCACACTTCAAAATTGAATTCATAAATATATCCATTTAAGTTGACAACAGTGCTATAGGTAGCAAAACATTCCAATTAAAATGTATGGACATTTAAATTTCTTCATATTACTTGCAGCAACCAAACCCTTATAAAAGATAAATTAAGACAATAAACGGTTGTTGCTACAGAAATATTAAAGAAGAGTTAAAACGTACTAAGTGACATTATGCACATTTTTTTCATTGTCAAGCTACGTTGAATTGAATTACACATGTATATATTCAAAAGATTGACTGTTTTAATGATATTTGACCAGCAATTGATGTGGATAATATATAAACCTGCTGTATGTATATGCTAATGTAATAAAATGAGTGTCAAACTATTTTTTTTAAATAAATTGAACGTTACAGGTAAATCCAAATGGATATTTACAGAAATATCTTTGGGCCATGTGAGTTATTCATTGTTCATGCGAAGTTAATTATAAAATTAATGAGTTATGACAAAATGTTAACTTATTTCAACTTTTCACCTGTTCACTCACTACTGGGAAAATGTCGACAAAGATGAGCACAGTAAAATAATCTAGCGGTATAAGGTTGTTCATTAAACAAGTCATGTGTAGACTAATATAGGGAAGTATTTGTGGTATACTTTATAACATACAGAGACATTCAAATGCTAGGGGGTTTTGAGAAAAAAATGACATCCGTGGTTTTACACAAATGTTGTTGTTACGCAGTAGTTTCATCCCAATAACATTACATTTAAATCCACTTTACGTTAATGGCCTTTCGAACATTCAAATAATATAAATGAACCGGAATGTTACCGGAAATGAATATTTTTCGTTATATTAATCTGCTGAATTTGAACACTCCATTTAAATATTAAAGGTATTTCACCATCAATATACAAAGATCAAGCAAGCCTAGTCAAACTGCATAGAATATGAAGCTGATGACAATGGCTTAACACTTTCAGTTAACACACTACTTAACCTTATATATTAAACAATAGTCCCCTCAAGAAACGTGCTATATTAAATTAAACAATGTACATCAACCTACACCAACCTAACAAAATTTTACATCATTGTAATGATCACATTAATCTTACCTTATATGAAAATAGAATCAAAATACTTAAACTTCCCCATCCATGTTTCACAAGCTGACACACCCGGTGTGTTTCATTTATAACAATAACGCTGTATCCGTTTTACGGTTCACCCGCGTTACCGTATTTATTCTATTAACTGCGGATCTTAAATTTGTATTTGCACAACCTGCCTTATACTTGAGCATTTACGTGGGTTTAGTGATTTTTTTAAAATAATGAATTGTATTGCTTAAATCAATAAATTCAATCACAATTTCGTTTTGAACTACGTGACAACATAAATATGTTAGATAACGTTCTTGTTTAGATATCTCGGTTCGCGCTAGGTAAATAAAAGGTGAGCGCTGTTTTACTTAAGCGAGACGAAATAGTACGCGCACACACACTTTTGCATATTTAAGTTAAATGCAATCAATCATGAACAAACTTTTAGCGAAAATTAATACAAGATTCCAGATTTCATTTGCATAACACCAGAAAATCACAGACTCATGTGGCCGACATTTACATACTATATATAACTACAGCAATTTAACATTGAATAATACATTTTGTAATTAAAGTACCATGATAACATACATACATGCATGCATGCATGCATGCATACATACATACATACATACATACATACATACATACATACATACATACATACATACATACACACCACAACACATGCATATAATACATATATAACCACATATACATATAACGGGCGTGCCAAACGCAACAAGAGAATCTGACAAAAAATGGAAGTAGATCAAATGGACTATGGATGCGTAATTTAAACAAGTTTGTGCATAAATACTTCAGAATAACACGTACATGTAAATTACACAATTTGCCTATTCTAATTATGGCCAGTCTTTTCAATGTTCTATCACATCTTATGAATAAAACATTTAACAACATATGTTGGTATAATCGTTTTATAGAAAATGAATTATCCACTAAAATACCTCTAAAAATGATCGAAAGCTCAATAACTTAATTTGCATAAATACATTTAAAAAATGGCCCTGGTTTGCATCATCTGCATGCATCACAAAATCTTAAACAAATCAAACTTTAACATTCCCACAATCGCCAAGCTCAAGATAAATACTATGAACACTTGGTAAGTGCCCTCTTAAGATAAATGATGCATGCGACATGTATGTACAATGTAGGCACTCAAAACAATCACAACGCGGATCTGACCTGGATCAGACGACAAGAAAGCAAAACTAAATAGACCTGACGGATCCAACTTTGTTATTACAGTTGTCGGTGATGATGTGTGATGTGACCCTGCAGTGATTCACTAATATTTATATATATATATATATATATATATATATATATATATATATATATATATATATATATATATATATATATATATATATATATATATATATATATATATATATATATATATATATATATATATATATGCTTAAAACTATGCTTGTCGCAAAATCTAAAAACTTCTTTTTTGGTTAAAATAGACTATGTGGCATGCGGCTTTTCTTCAACAATGCAATTAAAAGTGAAAATCGAGTTCCATTCAAGGACAGGCGAGCCTGTGTATCAATGTCAATGTAAAACTACGAAACGTTCCAAGCACAAAACAGGCCAAGTTAATCAGAGCAAATAAATTCTAGAGTAATACGCATCTACAATTTGAATAACGTTTGTTATTTCATTAATTCATTACTTTTATGAGATATCATTAATTTGACACGATTAATGATAAACCATCGTCGGATACCCACGGCCGAACCATTAACATTTATAACATGTTATGTGACATGTTTATCAATAGTGGGTATCCGACGATGATGAACACGACTTTCATTATACCTTGTGAATTTGGCCTGTATTGTGCCCAGAAATTTTACGTAGTAATACATGTATAAGCAGACCAGTTATAATTTATCCAATACAACCAAAAATAGTGTATAATTATAGTGATTCATATAAGATATTCTTAGAATGTTGTTTGACTATCGTTTAGTCATAAGTGAGACTGCATCATATGATGGTTTGATGTTGGTGGGACTACAATCGTGATTACACCATGTTGTCTGACATTATGTTGTAGTTGTAGTTTGGATGTTAGTTGGACTGCCAGCCGATATTCATATTACCATATTGGACGATGTCATAGTCTTAAGCTACAGTCTCACTTACATCCTGGCAGAGCTCCGGCAGAGCCCCGGTAGACGTCCGGGGTGATCCGGGAACGACCGGGGTACGACTGGGAACAACCGGGGTACATCCGTAACTCTGCCGGCAACGTCCTGGATGATCCGGGATGATCCGAGAATATCCGGCATTCGACCCCGGATGGAATAAAATATTTAATATCACCGGGGTGGTCCGGGATGATCCGGGAAGGTATAGCTTTGCCGGCTTCATCCTTAGCTCTGCCGGGAACGACCGGGGTTATACCGGGAAAGCACCGTAGCTCTGCCGGCACAAACCGGGGATGATCCGGGGTATGCTATAGCCGGTAGAGCTACGGTAGAGCTACGGTAGAGCCCCGGTATATGCCGGCAGAGCCCCGGTAACTACAGGCAGAGCCCCGGAGGATAAAGGTAGGGCTACGGTTGATCCCGGTAGAGCCCCGGTAGAGCCCCGGCAAAGCCCGGATCATTTCAAAAGAATAAGGACAATTTGCGATGGTTGAACTTGTTTGTATTAAAAGCCTTCCCATTTCCCTTCTATCCAGTATGGCATAAGGATATTTCAGAAAATCATCATGAATTACTATTCTGGAACAATAGATATTATATTAAATAAAAATTATGTATCAAAGTTATCATTTTCGGGCGTTTTCAATCCACCGGGGTTCTACCGGGGCTCTACCTGGATCGTCCTAGGCTCTGCCTGGATCGACCGGGGCGTCATCCGGGAACGACCGGGGAAGCACCGGCATGAACCGTAGCTTCACCTGGGCTCTGCCTGGATGATCCGGAGCGCATCCTGGGTGGTTAGTAGGGAACTACCGTAGTGCTGCCGGGGTAAGTGTGACCGCAACAATAATTTCATCCCGGATGGTCCCGGATCATCCCGGTAACTTACCGGGATGGTCCTGGGCTCTGCCGGGAGTAAGTGAGACCGAGGCTTTAGTCTGAGTCTAGCTATAACGGACGTTAGAAGGGCTGCAACTGTGATGTGTATTCGTCAATTTCACCATGTTGTTTAACATAATGTTGTAGTGTTAATTTGACGTGCGTTTTTCATATTTGATACTGTCCTATGTTGTTTGACATAGTGTTGTAGAGTTTGGACGTTGGTAAGACATTATGCGTGATTAATATTTGACATAATCACCTTATTGATTGGCATCATGTTTAAGCTATAGATTTGATGCTAGTAAGACTTCAAGCGTGAACATTGGTCAGACTATATACATGTGTGTTTTATATTAAACATGTTCTCCTTGTTGTTTGACATCATGTAGCTAAATTTTCAGTAAGACTGCAAACCTGATTCACATTTGCAGTGATGACATCAAGTTGTAGGTATAGTTTACGTTGGTAAGACTGCATGCGTGTTACATAATTGACATTGACACCACGTTGTTTGACATTGTGTTGTAGTTATAGTTTATGTTGGTAAGACTGCATGCGTGTTACATAATTGACATTGACACCATGTTGTCAGACATTGTGTTGTAGTTATAGTTTATGTTGGTAAGACTGCATGCGTGTTACATAATTGACATTGACACCATGTTGTCTGACATTGTGTTGTAGTTATAGTTTATGTTGGTAAGACTGCATGCGTGTTACATAATTGACATTGACACCATGTTGTCTGACATTGTGTTGTAGTTATAGTTTATGTTGGTAAGACTGCATGCGTGTTACATAATTGACATTGACACCATGTTGTCTGACATTGTGTTGTAGTTATAGTTTATGTTGGTAAGACTGCATGCGTGTTACATAATTGACATTGACACCATGTTGTCTGACATTGTGTTGTAGTTATAGTTTATGTTGGTAAGACTGCATGCGTGTTACATAATTGACATTGTCACTATGTTGTTTGACATTGTAACTGGAGTTTGGAGATGACAATACTGTTAACGTGATTTATACTTGTCTTGTCATTGTATTTGTTACTGTAGACATCATATTGTAGCTATATTTTGAGCGTTAAGTAGTGTGAATGTGTTTTAAATTTGACTTTGTTAGAATGTCATACGAGGTGTGTTAGAAATACATACAGTTTTCGACATAGTGAAATTGTGTATGGTAACAACACCGAAATCTAAACAGAATAAAAACGATGCTAAAATGTCTGCTATGAAATAAGAGTAACATCAAATTTTGCATGTTGCATATTTGTCATATTCTGTTTTATCGAGGTGTATAGATGTTTTGAATTTGACATATTGTGTTATGTTACGCTTGTAGAATAATATCTCAACATGTGTTACATATTTTACATAAATAGTGTTTATATTATATCTTGTTTGTTAGATTTTCAGTTTTAAAATATTATTGATCCGAGAATCTAACAACAAAAGCAGGTCTTTAGTTTAACCGACCATTCTTAACAACAACAACAACAACAACAACATCAACCAACCAAAACCTATTGAATGAAATGATAAAATGAAACTAAAATAACAATATTATTTACCTTTGTATAGTATCCCACATTTCACAATACACAGTGTATGCGATATAAGACACGCGGAAGTTTCTTTAACACTTAACTTAAACAACATTACACTTCACATGTTAACACTTTTCCCTATGAATGAAAAGTATATTAAATTAACTGATTAAGTTAACTGATTTATTATATTTAAAATAACAGATTTCACGAATGAAACCATTTTAGAGACAACAAACAATACCCTTTTAAACATATGATGTTTTATAATAGCAAACATAAGCGTGTGTGCAAAATCAAGCATGCATGACCAAAATGTGTATGTGTGAGTATGATTAATGCGGATAATAAATTCAATTGTTTTAGAATATTTCTTCGTACTTCGTATGTAACCATAGTTTTAATACCATAATAATTATTTAGCTCAACATTTTTGTTTAAAGTTTTTTATCTTTAAATATAATGTACACTAGCTACATTTAACTTGGTAAATTTAATCAACTCAATGATTGACACGGAAGTTAAGATAAATGATTATATGTCTTACCTTAAAGCGATATCATTCACATGGGGGTTTTATCAATTATAATTCCTTCTTTGATTTGAATTTGACAATATGAAAAATCTCATACACTTTGAACTGTAACCTATGAGCATTTGTAAGTACTCACATATTAGTACATGTAATACCACCCTGGCGCAAACTTCGAGTACTTTTTAAAACTAAAATTGTCCCAACATTCTCACGTTACCTTGCGGTTTAACAACATTAAAAACGCTGACATTCAGCCGTACCTTTAAAAGGTTATATCGGGGGTGTTACGTAAATACTGATTTGGATAGCCCAGAGATATCTATGTCTCTGGATAGCCATAAATGTCTCTCTTTTTTAACAATCACCAAAAAATAAAAAAAATGTTGTTGTTTTTTGTATACTCCATGTAAATCACTATAGCATTCAACATGATTCAAATTGTCAAAATAAAAGAAAATATACTACATATCTCGGTATAGGTCTACATACTTTCATGTCCGGTGTGATCATAGAATTGTATACCAATTCGTGTTTCATATCCAATATACTGAACAAATTACTGAACGGATGATTTGACGAATGACTAAAGTTGAACAAATGACTGAATCTATGACTGAACAAATGGCTGAGCGTACGCCTTAACAAATGACTGAATGAAAGAGTGACTGAACGTATTATTCAGTATCGAACGTACAACCAATCGAATAACTAAACAAATGACTGACCGTTTGACTGAACGAATGACTGATTAATGACAGAAAATGGCTGAGCATGTGACTGAATGAAATGCTGAACAAATATCTGGACGTTAAACTTTAAAAAAAATAGTTAAACGTATGGCCGACCGATCGACCGACTAAATCAATGAACAAATGACTGAACAAAAGACTGAACTAAAAGAGGCATTGACGATTTTGTTTGAAAGTGCAAAACTTTTCTTTATCTTTTTTTCTTTCTTCTTTCCGTGCAAATATTCTGTCTAGGATAGAGAATCCTACACTCAAATTACATTTTTTCCATTTATGTTTCTTGTTTTGCACTCATTGAATGTTGAAATAATGATGTATGTATAGTAATAAATGAATACACTATCTTGACTCATCTCAACTATAGATCTATATATATTTCGAGCGCACATTTTCTTAAAATAAATATAGATTTAATCAAGTACACCTACAAATATCTTTGTCTACTTCTTATATTTTAACAGAAATATTTCCAGACACTAGATATTCTGCTGATAGTGCAATCGCTGTTGACGTCAGCAATAAGAATACATGTACAAATGTACATATTTTAAAAACATTTAATGATAACATTTACAATGTTAAAGGGACTCCACAGGCATGTAGTTTTATAGACAGGACTAAACATTTTTTTCTCAATATTTGTGTTTGTGTGCAAACTCTCAGATCATTCTCTCACCTCGTTGTTTTGCACAACAATAATTTTTTTAGCTTTTCGCTCAAATCGAGCTGAAAATAGCTAAAACGATGTTAAATTTAACTCCGGGTAAAATTCTTTATTTATAAGTAAATCTATGTAAGAATTTCAAATTTAATGCTTTTTTCGGCTTTGAGATCTATATGTGAAGCTCCTTTAGAACGTTAAACAAAAAAACATTGCATGAAACCGAGAAAGTAATATATCTATAATGTGTCGATTCAGTTCTTTTAATACCATAAATTACAGCGCCCATCATCCAAGAATCATGTTCATTACAATAGTTTTTTTAATTGAAATAGCGAAAATAGAGGATCTATTATATGATCAAGTAAACAAATGATATATAGCTAGTAAAAGACACTTTCATGTAAATAACATAAACGACGCTCATATAATTAGTAATAACATAGATCTTATTATTATATACTTAATTAAGTTTTTTTCACAGGAACTTGAAATTCTATCAATATTAATTAATGATAATATCCAAAATATATCCCCCTATACAGTATAAATAATATAGGGGGTATATTTTGGATATTATCATTAATATTGATAGAATTTCAAGTTCCTGTGGGTTTTTTTTTAAATGAAACAAGTAGTTAACATAGAACTGATGCTATTTAAGGGCACAAACTCTATGCCTTGGGACTATATTTAGATGAGTGGTTACTTCCCTTGAATGGATAAATTGTTTTGCCATTCGTGTGCTAATACAAAATGCTGCTAGATCTATCACAGTTTCATCGAGAACAAGCCTTTTCTAACTCAACAGTGACTAGTTCTAATTTAGTTCTAATCGAGCTCTTATGCAGACGCTTTTCATTATTAGTCTAGATCTAGATCTATAGATTTCTATAGAACAAAGCATTCGACACACGATGTCTTTTTAATTCGATATCAATAATTAAGTGTTTGCACAATAGTGAATTTATGAAATATATTGTAAGTATACATAATAAATCTAGATCTATAATAATTAAAAATAATACGAACCAGTTCAACGTTCCTGTTTGACTGAGATGACGTAGTAACCATGTGATTGGGTGTTCTATATTTAGATCATCACTGCTTTGAAAGGTGAAGAAATGTTCGCAAATTAGAACGGGTTCCGTTTTGAGAGACAACAAAAACCAAAACCAAAAACCTTAAACATAATTTGATAAAGCTCTTTTACCACTATCAAATGACAGTCTTGTTAAGAAATACACATGTTTTCAGTGACATTGGCCTCCTTCCAGGAGAATATGATACGAAAATACACCCATGGACAACGATGGGAATTCCGAATGTCATTACTAAGATCACGGAGCCTACAAACTAGGTGAACGGCTAAGGTACCGATCGGATATCAGCAGACATTTAAAGACTTGATATTGAAATAAATATAGAAATATACTGACTACACGATGGTTTACATTTAATTACTAGTAATTGAAGTAGAACTCAGAAAAAAAATTCAATTAATAACCACTACGGCAAGCATTACTTAAAAAATGTCGTAGAATAGGCATATGGTTAAATGTTATATAACAGAAATCGACGAGAGTGAAATTTCTTTCTTTCAGCAAATCTTCTAAGGTCAGCTTGTCTGCACAGTGCTTATGTAAGAGAACAAGACTGTCTCATTTTGGTTCAAAGGCATTTACTTAAACAGTAAACAATTATAGTGGAATTGAAAAAGAATTGTATGCCGTTTTATTTGGCTGCAAACTTTATCTTTAGTATGTAAATGGATGGGCAAATCATCTGTCAAACAAGTCATAAGCCTTTACTGGCTGCGTTTAAGAAAGGACTGCATTCGGCACACCCTAAGCAAGTATACAGTGGCTAAAATATGATATATTGATGCACGTATCAAGTATTACATTTGCAGATCTGTCACGCAAGTATTTTACAAAAGCAAACCCAGAAAATAATTTAAATTCAGGCAAAGATGATTGTATACATGACAAATTTACCCATAATCGACTATTGATGCAATGAAAATGAAACAAAAATGCTCTCAAATACAATTGCTTATATAGATTATCACTGACGGTTGTTAAAATGATATTCCGGAACATTGAGATGTGTATATAGAGGATATAATCTTAAAAGGTTAAAATATCCTAATTTCCAAAGAACTGAGACAATGAAATCACGAGGACCATCTTGGAAAAAAAATGTCACCAGCCTTGTTTGACCAAACATAAGATCAAAATATTTAAAGGGCCAACTTGCAAAGAGCATATATGCTCAAATACAAAAGAGCTTTTAATAAATACTAAATAGAATTACAGATAAGCAATGACAAACATGCGTGTAAGATTTTATGTTATGTTGATATGTAAAAATGTAGATACACAATCATATAATGTATCTGTATATTTTTTACTGATAATAATTTCAATACTTGTATTATCATACAACAAAAAACCTAACTCATTATAGTAAGCAATTATTGTCTCAGTGGAATAAACAGAAACAGTGTTGCATATTACATACATGTAGCAGGAAGTCAGATCAATCCACCTAGACATGAATCATTCATCCTATACTGCCTAAATAAATCAGATAAATTATCTGACATTTCACTGACCGTAACTTGAGAAAAATATGAAAGCGAGTACATTCTAAGAGATGTTGTGATATGGGAGACAACTCAGTCATGTTTTATATGAAAATTAAACATGAGTTACTGTTACTGGTTATGCATCCCCTTAATAACACAGTTCAATGTCGTATCTTAGTGATTATTTATTATGCGTTAAATGGTTTTATTCGTATAAAGATTTTTTGGTCTATAGAGAGATCTTAAGATGAAAATGAAGTACTTAATCACACATCAACGACCGTAAACTAGGTGTAGCCTAATTCCACTCCCTATCTTACGATAATTGGGGCATCACTACTCAATAGAAAGGTCAAACTATTACTTCCTAACAGAACCCCATTTCCCTTAATTCTAAATACATGTATCTTGTATCTACAGTACGGTATATGTTCAGCGAGGACTTTGATAAATAAACCATTTATAGTAAGAGATGTGTGAAGTTGGCGAAAGAAGTTCTATTGTAAATCTGTTATTCATTAAACCACACATCCAAGACCGATTAGCAATTATTTCATTACCCGTGTAGAGATCTCAGATATATGTTACAATAGTAACATATAATGCTCCGTTTACATCTTGTACCGATACATAGAAAAACTCTTGTTGTTCGGTTGCTTATGTATGTTAGTCAAACTTGTGGCATATAAATATATAGCTACTGCTCTTTATATTTATGTGAAATAATTATGTTATAAAGTACCTATTAAAAGAACAAACATACACATTAATATAATAAAAACACTTACGATTCACGCCAGACATTATGCATTTATCCTTTAGTTCAACATATGTAACACGCATAGGGTTTCCTATGTTTACATTACAATAGTTTAACAGTGAGTAAATCTATTTCCAGGAAATTTCAGGTAAATAAATGAAATGCAGTAATGTATAAACAGAACTAAAGAGAATATGTTCCAAATCCATAATATATGTGTAAATCAGTTGCTGAATGTATAGATCTACTATCATTTCAAATACCAATAAATACTATACAAAAACAGTTATAATCCGTTCATAAAAGGTTACAGTTAATAGCGTGGTACAGAGAGAAATCCCCAATGTATGACAAAATAGCTCACATGTAATTACATCCGAGATCACAATAACTCGATATATGCAACATTTAAATATTGTTGCAATGTTTCCCCTGGCACTTGAATCCTAATTTTAATTAAGGACTTC